AGGCATTGAACCCCCTGTTCTTGCCCCAGCCACCCTCCCAGGACACAGAAACCTCCCAGGTCTGGCCTAGATTGGGGTCCCCTGGAAAGAGGTCCCCCCCCCTCAAAGCCTCCCACTGTCACCCCAGTCCTCCCTTCCTGCCAAGATCAGGTCCCCCTGGAAAGTGGGGAGCCCCCCAACCCCCACCAGCCCATACCAGGCCAGGTGGGAGAAATGGGAATCCACAGAGACAGCCAGGAGCTCGCACTGCAGCTGCCGGAAGGCGCCAGCCCGGTCTGAAAAGGCCACAAGCTCCGTGGGGCAGACGAAGGTGAAGTCCAGAGGGTAGAAGAACAGCACCAGGTACTTCCCTGGGGGAGTAGGGGTGGGGGCAGGGGTCATGGTGCATGCTGGCCCTTTAACAGTGGGATCTACAGACCCCTCCCCCTCACCTAGGCCAAGGGATGGCGGGGAGGAGGGGGAATCTAAGCCTCCCTCTTATTGTGCTAGCTCACGCTGAGCCCTGGCAACTCAGGTCACCCAATGCCCTCCAATGGCTCAGAGGCCCCATAGCACAGCACTGACTGGCTGGGGGGGCTCCCAGCAGGGGGCGGTGGGGAGCTGTGGCCCCCATGCCCTGCCCCCCCCCCCCCAACACACCTTTATAGTCGTCCAGGGAGATCTCCTTGAAGACACCATCTACCACAGCTGTGCCCTGGAAGTGAGGGGCCGGCTGCCCAATGCGGGCTTTTCCAGAGGCCATGTCCTGGGAGGGTTGGGTGTGGGGAGGGGCCAAGGGTCAGTGCAGGTTGGATCCCCACCACACACACTGTTGCAATGAGTTCTGCCTGGTCTCTACCCCCAGCAAGGCAACAGCTGAAAGCCCTCATCACCCCCCATACCCTCCCGAGGCCCTACCCCGCACTGCTGTAATGAGTTCTGCCCAGCCTCTGCACCCAGCAAAGGGGGCTCAGGGCTTGGGTGTGAGGAGCTAGAAGCCAGACCAGAGCACTCCAATAAGTGGAAAGGCTGAGATAATCCCGGTTAGAGCAGACAGCAGATGGATTCCCCCCACTACCCTGTGTGCAACCCTATTGCACCCGTATTAGTGGCCAAGACACCAGACTGGCTGGAAACCCCTGACCGACACTCCACCCCACCCCGCCTATGCCCAGGGAGTCCCAGAAGGAGAAGGGGACTGTAGGGATTTGTGTGTGTGGGGGGAGGGTCCTCATTCAAAGGCTACTTTGCACAAGCGGAAGAAGCCTCTTAAGGCAATGCGCGCCGCCCCCCCAGCACAAAGGGACAGACAGACGGACAATGGAATAGTCCCGCAGAGCTGAGCGGACACGCATAAAGGCGAGTGGGGGCAAACAGAGGGCAAAGCAGCCCCGCGGCATAGGGCGGGGGGGAGCTTAGAGGGCTCAGCCCTGGGAGATGCATTTGATAAAAAGTTCCCAAGCGTGTGCAAGAGCCCCCCACAGACGTGACC